TTCATCTCCTTATTTGGAGTACTATAGATTTCAAAGTTGAAATCTTACTTCTTTTATTAGATAGATTTCTAGGTATTTCTTTTGTTGGATTATTTGTTTTTGGATGCTATTGTGTAAGGTGTTGTTTTATAATTTCTTTCTCAGTGAGTTTATTATTTATTTACAGGAATGCTTCTGCTATATGATTGAATTTAGTTATTAAATGTATAAGTTGGGCTTTTGAGGCCTTTGTAGAGTATAATGCCATCTGCAAGTTATGATAATTTTTTCTATCCTTTTTCATTTTATTTCTTTCTTTTGTGTAATTTCTCTAGCAAGCTTTTCCAGAGATATAGTGAATAAGAATGGTGACAATGGACATCCTTGTCTTGTTCTTCATTTCAGAAGAAAAGCATTCAGATTTTGTCCATTTAGCATGATGTTGGCTGCTATTTCATCACAGAAGCTTTTATCAGATTCAGATAAAGATTATCTACTCCAATTTTCTGTTAATTTTTTCATGAATGGGCTTTGTCAAATGTTTTTTACACATCTACTTAGATGATTGTATGGTTTTGTCTTTAGCTGTGTTATTACGGTATATTCAACTTCCTAATTTGTCTATGTTGAGCCATCCCTGCATCCCTGGGATGAAGCCTACTTGGTCATAGTGTATAATCTTATTGATCACTTGCTGCATTCTGTTTGCTAGTATCTTATTGAGGAGTTTTGCATCTTTTTTTTTAATGGAGATTGCCCTATAGTTCTCTTTTTTTGATTCCTTCTCTGGTTTTGGAATCAGGATTTAATTTGGGAATATCACTTCCCTGTCAATTGCATTAAAAGCTTTGAAAAGAAGCAACCTTGGATCTTCTCTAAATTTCTTGTAGAATTTGGCAGTGAATCCATGAGCACCTGAGATTTTCTGTGTTGGTAGATTTTTAATTGCATCTTTAATTTCATTGATTGATATTGGTTTATTCAGAATTTTTATTTCTACTTGATTCAACTTTGCTATTTCAAATATATCTAGGTGTGTGTCATTTTTTCCTGTGTTTTCTAACTTATTGGAATACAGATCCTTGAATTAGTTATTGATCTTCTGGATTTCTATAGTATCTGTTATGATTTCACCCTTTTCTTTCCTAGTTGCATAGATTTTGAGTCTTTCCTTTTTTGATAAGGTTTTGTCAATTTTACTTAATCTTACAGAGAACCAACTCTTTAATTCATTCTTTATATTGTTTTCTTAGTCTCGATTGCATTAATTTCTGCTCAGATCTTTAGAATTTCCTCCCTCATATGAGCTTTGGGCTTGACTTTTTTTCCCCTAGAAACATGAGGTTCAACATTATGCTGTTTATTTGAACTCACTCTGGTTTTCTGATATGGGAAATCACCACTATAAATTTCCTTTTAGCATTACTTTCATTGTGTGTTCTATGTTGTGCTGTGTTATATTGATGTTATTTAGCTACTGTCTATTATCTTCTTTAATTTCATCTGTGACTCAGTGGTTGTTCAGGAGGGTGTTATTTATTTTCCATATTTTTATGCAGTTTTTGTAGTTTCTTTTGCCATCAACTTTGGATTTCATTGCACTATGGCCTAATAATATGCATACGATAATTTCATTTACTTTATTATGTAAGCATGTTCCATGAGCTAGTATGTGACAGTATCTTTTGTACAACTTTCCAGTTGCACATGAAAAGATTACATATTCTAATATTTTGGGAGGAACATTCTGTAGATATCTACTAAGTCTATTTGTTCAAAAATCTAGTCCAGTTCTAATGTTTCTTTATTGATCCTTGGTCCAGCTGTCCTATTTGTGACAGTGCAGAACTAAGATCATCCATTGTAGTTATATTAGTATTTATTTGATTTTTCATGCCCATCAATATTGTTTTATACACTGGATGTGCTGGTATTTGGTACACCTATTTTTATGATTATTATCTCTTCCTCTTGAATTGTTCCCTGAATAGGTATGCAGTGACCTTGTTTGTCTATTGATCAATCATGTCTTGAAATTCATTTTGTTTGCAAATAGAACAGCTAGCCCCATTTTGTGTTCCCATCACATGGAATGTTTTCCATGCTTTGATTTTTTCAGTCTGTAAATTTGCTCTGGAGTTAAATGTGTTTCTTGTGCATAGCACATTTTTGGATCTTGTTTCATGATTTATTTACCAGTATGTTTCTTTTGATTTGTGTAGTGAGGCCCCGATGCTTGTTGTGTCTAGATGTCTTTCCCCAAGTCTCATGCAGTCATAAGTGAGGCTTTTTCAAAAGTGGCTGGATTTAGAATGTGCGAGACTTGGATTATTTTATGGTTCTATGCTACAATTAAAGCACTACGATTATGGGTGTGAGTGCTGTCTGTCCTTAAGGTATAAGATAAGAGGACAGAAAGAGATGTGGTTCTCTTGTTGCTCTGCTACTTTTTCCCCATCATGAACTGTTTTTCCACTGTGAAGCCTATCCACCATGCCATACTCTGCCATGGAGCCACCAATTATGAACTGAAACCTTCCCGATCTGTGAGCTAAATAAATCTTTACTCCTTTAACTTTAGGTGTTGGGTGTTTTGTCTCATCAACAAGAAAAGTAACTAAGACACAAGTCATAACTGATGTGTATTGACTTATCTTTGTCATGGTATTTTCCTGTTATTAGTTCTCTTTCTTTCCCCCTATTTAATTGCTTGCCTTATCTGGTGGAGTCACTCGGCTACAGTTGAAGGAATTTTAGTCTTTCTTCTATCTTTCTAGATTATCCTTCAAAACATTTTGGAGTGCTTGTTTAGTGGTAAAGTGTTTTTTCAGATGTTTCTTATCATGAAAGTATCTATTTCTCGGTCAATTTTGAGAGCGTTTTACACATTACATCAATTGGTGTTGGAGGTTATTTTCTTTTATGGCTTCAAATAACTGAAGCTCTCCTTGACTTAAGGGTTTGTGTTGAGAACACTACTGTGATTCTGTTGGACTTTCCTTTATAGTTGATATTATAGTTAGGGTTTGCAAGGGAAAAGATTTAATAGAGAACCCATAACTTATAGAATTGTTTTATAATATTCAACTGAAGTGTCAAATGCAAAAGAATGCAGGAGAACCACCACACACTAGATATCCAAAAAACCTAGTTAAGGACCTAATTCCCATGGCAATGTCCACTGTAAGTCATTTGGAAGCTTAAATCCCACAGAAATGTATTTTGTTAGTCTATATTAAGGATCTACATAGGGAAGGCCCAGAATTCAGTGGTGGAAGCTAGACCAGTGAGATGAAGGATCTGTACCAGGAGGCTGAGGGATCTAAACTGGAGACAGGTAGCAACACTCATGGTAAGGACCAGAGCTCCCTTGAAAAAACCACAGCCATCCTCAGCAACAATGAGAACCAAGCTTCTCAGATGATGAGACCAATTGAGTTTATATCACAAAAGCCAGCATGACAAGCTTCTCCAGGAGGATCAATAGCACACATTCCCCCCCCCCAGTTGTCCTTTTATGCTGTTGGCAATGATACTCACGTAGGCCTTCCACACCCAGAAGCATGCTGATTCAGTTCAACTGGGTGTTAAAAGTTGCCCATTAGTTGATCTACCACTGGTGAGTTGTTTCTGTTGTCTAATATATTTTAATATTCTGTTCTTGTGTTGAATTTCTGGAATCTTGACTATTCATGCATTGGTGTAGATTTGTTTTTGGCTACTTGTACGGTATATGCCTTACTTCCTTTATGTCAAATACTTTTTCCCTGCTTGAGAAGTTTTCTGTCATGACTTCTGTGAACAGGATTTTGATGTCATTTGCACTATCTCCTGCTTTTTCATTGACTGTAATAAATCATTTGTTATTCTTCTTTGCATCATTTAGCTGCTGTTTGATTGTTTTTTTTGTATTCCCTTGCCATTTTTAACAAATTTTTCATTTCATAATCCCGAACCAGAAACCTGTCTTCTAGATCGGATAGCCTGTCCTCACATTGTCTCATTCTGCTACATATACTCTCAATAGAATTTTTAATCTCCTGAATATCTGTTTGGATTTGTTTCATAGATTTCATTTTTTTCCTATGTTGGGAATTCATAATTTTCATAACTTTTGTAAAGTCTTCTATCTTTAAAACCTGTACCTACTCTATGATCACTACTCACACCCTTCAATATGATTGTCTTCTTTTCATAGGTCTGAGAAATTTTTTAATTTGATTTTTTCTAAAGCATTGTTTATCTGCTTTGTCTCTTTCATTGTTGCCACTTCAGAGAATCCATGTGGATGGCTTTCAGATTTTTCTACCTCATTGCCCTCTACGCATTAGGACAAAATCTGGGATTGCATCTTGCTTCCCTGTTCTCCACTTAGTATTTTTCCATTCAGTTTCTGTGTTGATGCTTGTAAATTGTTTATGGTAGGTAGCTTTATTGCTAGTATCAAGAACCCTCAGGAAATGACTACTTATCAGAAATGCCTTCAAAGTGTAGCCCACTTTTGGCTTTTGAGTCTATTGCAGGATCCTATCTCTTCAATTTACTGGGAATGAGAACCTACTGCCTGTTTGGCCTAGCCACAAGTTCTGTGACAACTGGCCTGTAGTATTGATTATGAATCTCAGGCAACCTCAGGCATATATTATGGTTTGTTTTCCAATGCCCCCCTCCCCTACCTCATGCAATCATGGACATGGCTGAGTCTGGTCTTCGTGATTGGTTCATTGTCTAGCACTGGGATTGGTGGTGTGAGTGCTATACCCACCCAGGAGTGGAGCTGGTATACACTGTAAGGGCAGGAAGAAAGGATGTCTTTCTCTTTGCATTGTTTGTTCTTGCTGTTTTGCAGGGGTCATGAACAACGGCCCTGCCATGCCACCCTGCCATACCACCCTTCCACTGGGAGTCAATTGACTATGGACTGAAAACCCCAACCTGTAAGAAATAAATCTTCTCTTCCCTAACTTTGGACATCAGTTATTTTTTCTCAACAATGAGAGAGAAAAATAACTAAAACAGCATACAAGGAAGAATAACTCTTCACAAATGCATGTAATGCTTGCACAGGGGGCATTCTAATATTCGCTATATTGTTCCAACTTTAGTATATGTGCTGGCAAATCCAGCACAGCTCTCATATTTTACAATCAACATTACTTAGTATGCCTAATAGGAAAGTTCTACTAAAGATTATTCTAACATCAGAAATAGAAAACAAGAGGGAGGTATGGGTGTGCCAGTGATGAGAACATATGTGCATAATAGAAAGACAAAGCATTTATTTTAGACAGTCACTCATTTAAGATTTGTGACTCCACCAGATAGGCAGAGAAACAGAGTCTTGTTCGGATGCTCAGAATAAAGCAACTAAAGAAAACAAATCTCTCCTTGGAAAACTGTGTTTTTTAGATCTATCTTTCCATCTTTCCCAACTAGGCCAATAATCATCCAACAAAAGAAACAAGAGAGACCAAAACAATTCAACAAATAAGTCTGGGAACCAGTGCCATGCACAGACTGCCACTGGACTTGAACAAACAGAGCCCAGCTTCTCCCCATAGGTCAACACCATTCATGGACCAGAGGTAGAAAAAAGAAGACCACACCAGGAAGCAAGCCCAGTCTGGGAACCAGCCCCATGCACAGACCTCTGACGTACTGGAACAGACAGACCCCAGGCCTTTCTAGTGGGTTGGCAAACAAGAAGTACCAATATCCTCTTCTCTCCTTAAGCAACCAGCTTATCTGGAGAAACACAGCCTGTGATGATAGCTATGGACATTAAATGCAATTGGATGCCTGTGGTCCTTTGGTGTTTCACTAATATTATAGGTCTAGGGCTAGTGATCTGATCATTGTTTCAGAGGATAATGGTATGCAGTGTGGCATCTAGGGGGATCTCCTTTTGAGTGTTGTAGACGTAGTTAATTCCCTATGGTTTTGCTTTGGAAATCCTATATTATTTCCTTTTTTTTTTTCCTTTGGGTTGGGTTTTATTTTCTTTTGTTTTTTTTTTTTTTTTTTTTTTTTTTATTATGTCAAATCCAATGGTAGGAGCAACTATTTTAAAGTTAGCAAAAATATTATGCTAGCAATTTTGGATTTACTATTGACTTGCTTTGAAGTCCTTTATTTCATTCATTGTTTTGTTTTTATTGTGTATATTCTATTGTGTTCCATTTCATTTTTACTATGTTGGGAGTTACCTGCAGCTATTTGGAAGACATCAAAAGGCATTATGAGAATTGCTGTTGATTTCATCATGTTTTGAAGTCATGTAACATTTACACTGGTTTATTTTGATTGGTTTTATTGTGTTTTATCCTCTTTAAAATAAAATAAAAATCCAATCCAACAAATATACAGAATTACCAAAGATACAGTGTTCATGTGGCAAATATCATCTCTACATAATCACAGAATGTTAAAAAGTAAGTTGTTGTTACAGCATGCAAAGTAAACTAATACAAGTATGTCTAGAAACAATATTATGCATCATCTCAATGCTTACATTTAATATAGAGAGAACCAAAGAAACAGTTATTTGTGTTTTTAAACAAGGAAATACTTCTGAGTTATACTCCTACTGAATGATATTAATCTTCATCAACTAGATGTAAAGCCAAAGTTCCTAAGCGCAATTTGGAGCTTATAGAGAGAATTATGTCTCATTTATCTGAAGTGGAAGATAACCACATGGGTTTGTGGGCTGCCACTGGCCTAAAGAAGGAATGAATAGTTGATGTGTTGTGTTTTGGGGAAATAGAGTGACAATCAAGAGAACAGATAATCAGAAAGATGTGCCATCTAGCAAAATATTTCACTGATAATCAGTATCAGCTTTTTTACCCTCTTCTTAATACATTTCCTGGCCCATTTGCAATTAAGTGGGTCCAAGTGATTGAGTCCTAAGCAGTGGAGTATGTGTTGAAGTGAATGTATTTCTAGCAATTTAGAGCCATCGTCTACGACTTTTCCTTCCCTTATATACCACTTGTATGCCAAATAATCCAGCGGTCCCAGGAGATGGTGAGAACCCTTGATAATACTCCCTGACCTAAAGTTCCACAACTGCAGGAAACAAAACACCCCTGTTGACTCAGCTAGACTAGGAGAGACAAAAAAAGTAGCATTTATTATGTTAATCCAGATTCTAAAGCCAGTGTTAGCTAAGACACGGTATAAATCTATATAACTGTAGCCCCAACTAAAATGTTAGAGGCATAACATCTATACTACACTTCAGAAGAATAACACAGCAAAAGCCTTGCACTGTCTTGACCATTGTTAGCATTTAATACATGTAGCGATCTTCACCCTTAACCAGACACATTAATTCATTGCCACCACTGATTTTTTTCTTTCTTTTTTTTTTTTTTTTTTTTTTTTGATATCACCATCTTTATGTAGTGGACATATTGACCTTTTACGATGAGTGCGAGTTGTTTCAAATCGTTACAGACACATATAAATGCCCTTGTGGTTTATTCATAAATAAGGAGAATATGAAGCATTGTAAGCACTTAAAAACGTTCACTAATGCTTCAATTTCTGCTGATTCCAAAAACTACAAATACTTGTCTTGTGTAGGGAAAGAAAAATATGCCATTTATTCTACTGAGTGTAAGAAAACCTTGTTCTTGTCTATGTTGATTTCATTGTGAATAGATAAAGCTATTCACATTTACCATCTCAGAACTGAATCACAGAGTGTAGGCTAGAACTGAGTAGGGTTTCATATCTGCAGCCAGAAAATAATTGAGGCCTGCTTTGGAGTCCTGTGTTCTGTTTGTAAGAGCTCCACTTTTTTCTTAATTGCGCCAACAAAGTCACACTGATAAAACTGCTGTGGTCTCTATAAAATTCATTGGCATAAAAGACACACTCAGATAACTCATTCATTATTCTGGAAAAGCATTAGTAATTTTGACAAAATAATTATACAGGGAGTCACACTATTAAAAATTCTATTGATGTTCTACATATTATGATAAATGACATAGCAAAGGGACTGGTATATAGGATTTTGTTCTACCAATTATCATTTGCTGGATGCTTGATATATACAGAGTACTATGACCAGTTCTGTAACACACATCTCAACAAAAGTATGAGAATTTAGGGCATATTCAAGATCTAGATCTCTTTTGATCTCTTTCTCAAAAATTTCTATAAGTTTCCTACTGTTTATTAAAGTACTTTAGAAATCTGTTCCTCTGATATTCAAGATCTTCTACCGTAAAGCCTTATCCAAACTTTGTGAACAAACTAAACTAGTTGTTGATGCCCAAAACTTCCCTGTATCCATGTTCTTTTGTCACGCTGTATGTTCTGCCTGAATGTTCTCCTAATTCCGTGGGTGTCTACAGAAATCCAATCCATTCTTGAAAGCTCATCTCTAGTGCTACTGATTTCATACAGACTTATCTGATTTTTTTCTCAAAAGACTTGAAAAAGGTATATCATAATCCTTCTGTTCCAATGTGTGTGTGCTTCTATGGGTATTTATTTGCCTCATCTGTTTATCCTTTGTATATTGTCTTAGATACCACAGTGCTTTTTTTATAATTTTTTTTTGTACCAGGGTTGAACTCATGACATCACATTTGCCAAGCAGGCACTTACGCTGCTGAGCTAAATCCCCAGCCCTATACCACGGTACTCTATCTTCCACAGTGCCTATATATATATATATATATATATATATATATATATATATATTTCACACTTCCTAAATATTTTTCATAACAAATATAAAAACTTGACAGCAAGAAAAAAATCACTTTTTAAATGGGTAAAGAACTTGAATAGGCATTTCCTCCACAGAATTCATATATATGGTTCATAAGCACATGAATAGAGACTCAACAGCAGTAATCATTGTGAAAATGTAAATTAAAAGCACCATGAACTGTCAGTTCAGACCCACTGGGATAGCGATTAACAGAAATGGAATGAAATGAAATAAACAAGTGTCAGAAAGCATGTGGAAAAATTAGAACCCGTGTGCATTGCTTGTACAAATGAAAAATGGTGCCCCTGCTGTGGGGAGGAATGACAGTTCTTGAAAAATTTAAAATCAAAATTGCCATGTGATCCAGCAATGCCGCCCTTTGGTATATACCTAAAAGAACTGAAAGCAGTGACTTAATAGACATTTGACTATCAGTATTCACAGCAGCTTTATTCATAATAGCATACAAGTGATATCAATTTCTCCACTGAATGAAAGAATGAAATGTAGCTTATAGGTACACTGGAATATTAATGATTCTTAAAAAGGAAATAAATTCTTATATATCCTACAATGTAAATAAACCTCAAAGACATTCACATAAGAAAATTATTTTCTTAATCCACTCATATGAGATATGTAAATTGGAAAATTTACGGAAAAGGAAGGCAGAGTGCAGGCTATCATGGGCTGGGCCTAAGAGAGAGAAGGGAAATGCCATTTGATGCATTTAAAATTTCTATTCAAGAAACCACAAATCTTGGAAAATGGATAGTGGTTATGTTTGCAGTATTGTGAAAGCAATTATTATCACTGAATTGTACTCTTAAAATGGATAAAAGATTAAGTTTTCTAAGTATTTTAGTACAGTAAGTTTTAAATTACAAACTTTGCAAAGTTGAAATTTAAAATAATATAAATATGGCCAGGCATGTATTTATATGCAGAAAATAATCTAAAGAACCCAACAAATGTGAGATCAAATTCAAATTCATCTTGGAATAGTTATTAGATTTGCTAATCCCTCATGTATAAAAAAGAGATAATAATAGTATCCACTGCATAGATTGCTTTTGATGGACTATACAGTATAACTTATGAAAAACATTTACTATAGTGTTAGAATATGTTGATGAGAATAAAATATTAATATTCTTACTACCAACAAATAATAATCAAATATCTCTTCTGATGCAGAATAAGCTTCGAAGTTTGCAAAGTATCATGCTAGTAAAATAGAAGAAAGCTTTGAGCAAGGGACATCAAACAGAGAGGCAAGTTTTACACTCTGGAATCTGAGACAGTGTAGAATAGAAAAGGAAGATTGGAGCTTAAATAACTGATTGAAATGGCATCTAAACTGAATTAGTGAGTTGTCAGGAAATGAATGTTTCC